CCACCACCCTTTGGTCCCAGCCATCCAGGCAGTTTTTTACCCAGCAAAGAGTATGCCCATCCAGGCCATGGGCAGCCAGTTTCTCCAGCAGAATGCCGTAGGAAATGGTGTCAAAGGCTTTACTAAAGTCCAAGTACCACTACATCCACAGCCTTTCCCTCATCCACTAAGTGGGTTGCCTTGTCATGGAAAGATATCAGGTAGTCAAGCAGGAACTGCCTTTCATAAACCCATGCTGACTGGGCCTGATCTTCTGAAGAGAAGACCTCTGAGGAAGAGCACAGATTTGGATGTAATTTATACCTCCTTCTGCATTTTTCCAGGTGGGCCAGGCTCTGGCACCTGCCTGTCTACTACAGATCAATTCTGTCTATGCCAAATGAAGATGAGCATCTGCTAGTCTGCATCCCAGAGAGTGATGTCTCGGCTGTGTCATAAGAAGGCGCAATGCATATAAGTTTGGAACTTGGGGAAAGTTTAAAAAAAAGAAAAGAGAGAAATTCATACATTGGTTTGAAGCATCACACATGTAAAATTGTGGCAACTCCCTTTTGGACCATCTAGAATCTGTCAGGAGAGTAGCTGTACTCTACAGTGTTTTGCAGCTTCAGTTGCAGGTAGTAAATTAGAAGTCAACAATACAATATTCAAACACTTTGGAACCCTATTACTGTTACTGAGAAATATTAAGGTTTTAATAACATCCTGTGGGAAGTAGTGTTTCAAATTAGAAAGGAAAGACTTTCTCAGGATATCTTAATGGATTGAGCTGATACTGTGCTGAGCACTTGTTGAAACGTGGAAATCCATGCATATAATAAATATAAGCATGAAGGGAAGGTTTTTGGTATCTCAGCAAGGTCCTGAGACTGGAATGTCACAAAACTGGGAGTTTGCCATGATTTAGACAGAATTGAGGGAGGGAAGGGTTTGGTGGGTTTGGGAAGCTTTTAATCTTTTTTCAAATGTTTGAGCCATCCTCACAATTGTCATTAGGAGCGCTGTGCATCACTGACTTTCCTTGTCATTGGCATTCTGAAGCCTTTGTAGCTGGGATATCTGGAACTTGTGGAAAAAAGCAGCTTTGCCCGTGTATTACAAAGAATTATCAGGTATTTTTATAAAGCCTGTCCTTCTTTATTGCATAGAAATAACAGGAAAACTGTAAAAACAAGGTTCAGTGTCCAGTACAGACTGCTGTATTTTTCTTCCTGAAAATTCAAGTAAGGGCTTAGAAATGGTTTTTCAGAGCAGACCTGAGTGTAGATCTGCAGGAGCACTCAACAATAGAGATGGAGGTAAGAGGAGGTCCTACCCAGCAAGGTGTCTTTCCATTTTAGGAGAATTTGGAGAAAGAAGCTCCCTGTGTTGTGACAGGCATGCTCAGTCACCTTGAAATTTTACTAGAGTCTGCACCTCAACCATTGGGAAACAGCATTGTGTGCTAAATATTTTGTCTTACAGTTAACACAAATAAAATTGGGTATCGTGATTTGCTTCATAAATATGTCTATCATAGTCTTCCCAAGTCAGTTTTGAGGATATGATCATCTCTTTTCAGTTTGCAGGGGGGTGATTTCTGCATCACTAAAACAGGAGCTATTACAAATGTGTATGTTTGGCATTCTCACTAATGCTCTGGGCAGAGAGAGGTTGGGAAAGATAGCAAAGCTCATTCAGTTGCGCCTGCATCTCTGGTCTCCAGAGCTTTCTGTGGTATGCATTTCATGAATTTTAATTTGAATGTCCTGATTTTTATTGAGTGAAAACCAAAGTTTACTGAGTGCAGGCCTGAAGAGCCACCTCAGTAGGAGTTTTAGCAAGGGCAGTTGCAGATTTTCCTTATGGGGTCCCTTTCATTGTGTTTTGTCAGGTCCCAGAGAACCTGCATTTTGGCAGGAGGAGAAGGCAGGGCCATTCCACAAAGGAATGAGGAAGGAAAAGAGCTATTGTGTCTTCAGTATCAGAGAGACACCCATACTTTTTCCAATTCATCCAGCATGGTAGGAGCAGCCTTCTGCAGAAACAGAAAAGGAAACTCCATTCACAACTGGGTTACAAAGAGAGGTGTCCATGGAGCTTGGATCTTTTCCGATAGAAACATCTTTGGCTAGTTCTCCAGTTCCTGATCCTTCTACACCTTTGCTGAAGGGAATCTGAAACCTGGAAGGATAAGCACTCATTTGGGTCAGGAAGTATGAGACTAAAGCACAAAAGGAATAGATGTCTTATTAATATTCTTCCATCCTAACTCTCCCTTCTTTCCTCATCATCTCTCCCTGTGAAGGGCTGTGTCAGCAGCCAGACCAGACTGCTTCCCCAGGACACAGGAAAGTTTGGGGGGCAGGGGACATGCATGTGTGGCAACAGAGCAGCTTCTGTTTAGCCTCCCCGAACTCTATTCAAGACCACAGGGAGGTTTTGGAGGTTCCTGTGGAGGACAGATTCATTCCCCAAATGTTTTGCAAGACAACCCTGACCCAGTCACTGTAGAGGATATTTCTTAACTGTTTGGCATGGAATCAGAACCAGGAGGTGGCTCAGAGATTAAGGTTTGCTGTATGAGTGATATATTTCTTTTCTTGAGGAGAACACTTGCATGTGGTTTGTGGTGGGCATTGATTCAAGGTGGCTATGCCAGGGAGAGATTTGGTGTCCTTGGAAAACTTACTCATATTTTGAAGTATACATACACACTCAAGAATGTATTTCAAAGCAGCTCTGTGCAATAATCTGGTTTGTAGAGATTTTGAACAAAATAAAAATCCCCTACTCTTAGTAATCCAGGACATGGGTATTCTAATGGGGAGGGGGCTTCTCATCAAGGGCTATCCAAATGTCAGCAATTTCACTTCAGAGAGTCATGAAAAGTTGTAGGTCTAATTCCTTAACACTGCTTCATATGATCTTAAAACATCAAGGCAAGTATTTGCTAATTTTACCTAGAGTCACGCAAGAGGTCCCTGTACCTGTAAGTTAGCCTGCATTTGACTAAAACCTAGGGATATTCCACATATTGGTGGAGCATTGCCATCTTTGTGAGTATCTTGCATTTGGAAAAAATCATGAACCAAATGTAAATTTCCAGTGCTTTGGAGTCGAGTGCAAATGTTTAGAGACTGTAGTTTGTTTTTCTGGTGTTTGTATGACTGAAATTACTCAGACTACATCTGGATTAGTGTTGGACTAAATGAAATTGAGGATTGAGGCTTAGGTCTCTGTACTGCAGTCGCTTACAGAGCTTTGCATGAGTCTCAGTGCCTTAACTGGGGCTTCTGACATCTGCTGCTGTATATCCTGAAACTCCTAACCTCCAACTGCTTTTCTTAAACACGCGGTGAAACTCTGGGTTCCAATTTTACTTATTTCTAATTGGCTCAGGAGAGGAAAGAGAGGCAGGAGTCAAGGAGGCACAGGTGTTTTTCTCTTTGGACATTGGTTATATTCAGATGTTCATCTTTGCTGCTTCTGATTTGGAAATTTTCTAAGAGCTTCCTTCCCAAAACTTCAGGAGTAGAGGAGAATAATCATTTCTGCTTTACCCAGTTTACAGTTTAGTAACTCACTAGTTCAACTTCTGTGTGTATGCTCTTGATCATAGCATAGAGCAGCAATGTCAGAAGGCCACCTCTGAAAATAAAAAGGAATAATAACAGATGAACAAACAACCGCTTGCTCTATCTTTTCCTGATATTTTGCATGCCATTTAGCTTGTGATGAAAGCAGCAATAATTTGCATCTCTAGGCTTGCTTATTGCTTCCAAACCAGTTGCCTTTTATTTATTTGTTTGTTTATTGATTTATTTATTGTGTAGTGATGAAGCTTTTCATATGCTAAATAAAGCAACAGGGAACCTTAGACCCAGGCATGTAAAAATTTCCACGGATAGGACATTTGCCTTCAAAGTCAAATCCAATTTAAGATGTTGCTTGATATGAAATTATAGGAATAAATTTAACCAAGCAGCATGATGCTTTCATTTTTTTCCCACTGGCCCTGAGAGACCAGTCTGCCCCTTTTCTTGCTTCCATGCCCTATGACTTATCATAGAGCAAGGACAGCAGAGGTAATGTGGTTTCATGGTATTGGTATGGGGGAAAATGCCACCTTAATCCCATACTGGATATAGGGAGTCTGATTTTCATCTTGTGTTCCAGTGTAAATTGTGGTTAGCTTTGTTTGACCCAGCTGAACTGCTCTTCTCCGTACGAGGTAAATAGTCCCCTGGTTTGCTCTGAATTTCAATGCCGAAGGTCTGTACCTTAGTGCTTCAGTGTCTCAACTGTCCTATTTAGAAATCACCATTTCCTATCATGGCAAATGGAAATCTTACGAGATTCTCAAGACCCCTATTGTGGGCTGCCCGCTTCACTGAAATTCAATGGAAGCAAGCCAACAGGGTCTAAAGCAAGCATTATTGGAGTCAAATGATCTCAACAAATTCTATTCATACCCCTGAATAAGAGGTGGATATGTCTTCACAAGGACCCCAGTTCCTTTTGTGGCTTCTGGCAGTTCAAGTTGTGAAAATATGCATGGATCTCTGGTAACTGAAAGGATAAAGGAAAAGCAATTTGCATATCCTCATTGAATACAGAGACCAGCATTCATTTACAATACAAAGTAGTATAAGCCTAGGTAATGAATGCAAATGAAAACTTAAAAATGACAGAATTAATTGGTAAATTTTAATTACAAAGTTGTATTATGACACAGTAGCCAGCCATGGGTCTCACTTGGTTTTCTGTATTTAATAGTATTGTCTTTCATCCACTCTGGGGTAAAGAAAACTGTTGGACTCGATTTTTCTCAGGCCTGCTGTGTTGTCATGAAACTTGTATGCTCAAGCAGAAAAGCATCTGCAGAGAGCGAAAGGCAGGTCTGTGTCTGCGGTGTGGGCTGCAGGGTCTGTGCTATAGCATGACTGGGTAAGTCTTCTCATTTATTTGTTGTTCTGTTCCTGTTTTCTTGTTTACCTTCATTTCATTTTTGTTTTCAGTTGACATGTGGTCAGTAGGGTGCATCATGGGAGAAATGATTAAAGGTGCTGTGTTGTTTCCCGGCACTGATCGTATCCTTCCTAGTAGCTGTTTTGGCCTCAGTAGGTACTTCGAACCCTTTCCCCTCCAGCCCCTTCCCACTAGACTAGTGCTGACATGCATTTGTCCTGTACCTAAAGAGCTGGGTTAAGTCCCACTGCAAAATCCGTGCAAACCAAAATGTCAATAAACCATTACTGCCTCTCAGTAAAAGCCTTAGGTGGAAACCACAGTGAGTATAGCGTAAGGAGATGGAAAACAATGTCCTGAATGGTTCATCAGAATTGCTTTCTGCAGCCAGTGACCACTTGGGTTTAGTTTTGTTGTTATCAATGTCTCTTTATTAATTTGGGGGTGGTGGTGGTGTGTTTTGTAAATGACACTTTTTTTTAAGTTCAGGTTGTAACGTGGTAGGCACAAGTCACAGTTTACCTCAGGATGGCATGTAAGAGGGTCTGCATTTTAGGACAAAGGTATGATTAACTCAGACGTGACTTCTAGAAATGCTTATTTCTTTGCTTGTTCGCTCTACAAGTGGTATTGAAGTAGGAAATGGCTTCAGTTTGGGGACAGATTCTCCTTCCCAAGACTAAAATTATCAGTTCACTTGGTAGCAATTTGATGACTCAAAAGGCTGGAAATTTCCTTGGAAACTGATGTAGTGGACTTCAGTCTGTCATCCTTTATTTAAGTACACGTAGCTATTGTGTGAAAGCAGAATGTATTTTTGATATCAACAAGAAGTGATTTATGGATAAATGCATTAAATCAGTGGGCAAGCGGTCCAAGCAGACATTATATATATGTTTTCCTTAGAGACCATTCTGCATTCAGGACTGAGGCAGCCGTAATTCTTACTTTATTTGATGCTTTATTAAAGCTTTGATATATACTGTATTATTTATCAGATTGTGAAAGTGGTTTCTTCTTGTGCATAGCAGCAACTGAGCTCCATGCATGCTTGGTCTAACTCCAGTGATTCATGGTCTGTAGGATTACAGAAATGAGAAATGGAGATGACCTGTGTACAAATTTTCCTTCTAATTTAAACTCTGTACTTAGATGACAGAAGAGTTTCCAGGTGTTATTAATTTTATGTAACTTTCTCTGAATCTGTGTGTGTACACTTTGTGTGTATATATATACACACATACTTAGTCATTCAGTTTTGCACTTCGCTTTTGGCCTCATTCACACTTTGAAGGGTTCAATATTTTGATTAAAATATGGGAAAATAATATCTGAAGAGCATTAAAGAAATTAAAGTAGGTGATGGTATCATTAATATTTTCACAGCCTTGTCTAGTAAGATTCTGATTTGAGTTTTGTCCAAAATGCTGGATGAGCATATGCATACTGAAATGAATGCTGGAGTGAAATGAACGTGGAGTAAGAAATTTAAGTGTGGGGGTTAGCATAGTTCAGTGTTGTAGTTGGAACTGGTTTTATGTTAATAGTCCTATATTTTCTAAGATATCATTTAAAGAAATCCCCAAGTAAGTGCAAAAAGAATTTAATGTCTTGTATAGTGCTTCAAAAATTGTTTTCTTTGACACAGCTGCATACTTTTTAAAAAGAAATCATGCAAAGCTTCTATAATTAAACCATTATGTGCCGTTTATTATTGCAGTAACCCCGCAGAAATTGGCATTACCAGCTGCTGATTTGTTTGGGATTGTTCTGTAATTGAGTTCCCATTCTTCATTTGTATTTGTAATGCGTTGCTAAAGTTGCACTGTTTTACATACTGCTCTGCTTTTCTTCTGCTGTTCCATGAATGTCTATTCTGTGAACAGAGAATGATGCCATTGCTTGCCTTTAGGCCTCTGAGCATCCCTCCTCAAAGCCACCTCTTCTCCAAATTCATCTCCCACCACCACTCCCCTGCTGCTGAGCAGCCGCTGGCAGGGGTTCAGCAATTCTTGCTCCTGTGCCCATCTGCACAGCTGAAAACCAGTCAGAAAGTTGCACAGGCAGGCCCAGCCTGCGGAGATTGATGACCTCATGGCATCTTCTTCCTTAAATCTGTATAGAAAACGCTTAGCGTTTCTGTAAGAGAGATTATTTCTTCAGATGTGTGATGGAGTTGGGCAGCTGTATCATTCCATCAGCAGGGACTATGAGCCCTAAGAGACTTGAGGACAGAATACTTCAGTATTTAAGTGTAGAAGGAGCAAGAGTAATTAGAAATCTGTTTCTTTAAAACAACAAAAAAGCTTCCTCTTCAATACAAAATGGGTGTAAAATTGGTTAAGACTGGCAGTGTACCAGAATTTTTTATCAGCAATTTTTTCTTCACAGGCAGTGTTTCATTTCACAACCAAACTGTGGTTTGAAGAGCATTTAATACTAATTTGTGTCAGTTTTTATGCATAAATAACTGAAAGGCAGTTTTGAAACTGAAAGATTGAATATTCATGAGAAATGCAGTCAGTCATATATTTGACTGCAAAATTTACTATTTGCCATTTTCCAGTGGTTAAGGAATATAGGTTGTTTGATATAGTTTCTGTTTACAGAACTAAATGGTCTGTTCAGCTAACTGAAACAAGTTCTGTAGCAAAATAGAGCCATCTTACATGGCTGTGGAAAACTCACAAGCAGAAAAATAGGAAATGCCTTTGAAGTAAGTGTGGAGTGCTTAGCTGGGCTTGCAGCTCTGTTCCAGTCCTGTAACCTATTTGAATTTACTGAAATCGCTTGGGTGGAGCTGAGAATAGAATCTACCTCTCTTCTTTTTTTAAACTCCAATTGTGAGTGAATGCTTTGCAGTGTCCAAAATTCCCGTGATCATCACTGATCCTTGAAATGTTATTATTGCTTTACCATATGTGCATACACCAACTGCATTGGTGTATGCACATAATGCAGTTAATTGTGAGCTAAATCTGTTTGGGTTTTGGTTTTGTTTCTTTTTTTTATGTTGTATGAAATTTCTTTTCAAGGTTGAAAGCAGTAGTTCTGCTTACAGAGAAACTATTATCATGAAGCTTGGATATACTTGTGCCTCGAGCACGGAGAAAATGGCAACATGGTTTATTGTGTTGCCTCAGGAGCAATTTGGAAAGCTGACTGTACCTGTGAGTTGACTCGTTCCATGTGTTGTTCTCAAAATTTTATGAGGGAGACTTACTCTTTTCTCACTACTGCATAAATGATCTGAAGGAGTTAAAAAGGTGCCTTAGTCCTCTGGTGAGCTGTGAAAATAGTAGTTATACATGGATTTTGGGGTTTTTTTTAAACTGCTGAATGCATTTTGGGCAGGCAAAGACAAAAGTGCCTTTAAATTCTGAATGCTTAGGGAGGCAAGTATATATTCATAGAGAGATATAATGTTAGCATGATGTCATCTTCTCTTAGTATAAATCACAGATGGCCATACAAGCCATCACTTACAGAGCCTTATTCTACAATTGCAATCATGTTATGCATGTCACAGAGATTGGGGGTTGGGGTTTTTATGCACAGTTTTACAGTTCATTTAGAAGGTATTTAATAATGCTAATGTTCATAGGCCGCCTCCTAGGGTTAGGTACATGATCATTGTGCATCCGGCTGTACACATTACAAAGACAGAAATGTACCACAACAGAAGGTTCTAGAAGCCTAGAAACAGTCTGAAGTATTACAAGTACATACTGCAGTGGTGAGGAGACATCCACGAGGGAAATGGTAATACTTATCCAAGGGCAAGATTGCAATCCTGTGCTGCAATATCTGGACTAAGCACTGATTTACTTGCTGCTGTGTAAGCAAAGATGCTCAGCAACTGAATGAAGTGCCAGCTAAAGAAAAATTGCAGTTGAAAATTTTAGTGAAGGTGTCTCCAAGGGGAAATGGTCTGAAGTTGTGTCAGGGCAGGTTTAGGTTAGACATTAGGAAAAATTTCTTCATAGAAAGGGCTCTCAGGCACTGGAATGGGCTGCCCAGGGAAGTGATCGAGTCTCCTGTCCCTGGAGATATTTAAAAGAAGGATAGATGAGGTGCTTAGGGACAGGGTTTAGTGGTGGAATGGCAGGGTTGGGTTAATGGTTGGACTTGATATCTTTTAAAGGTCTTTTCCAACCTAAATGATTCTATGATCATAGATATGTGTCCACAATCAACCAACACTGCTATCTCCTGACTTCTGAATGAGCAATGGTGTAATCTTCTGAAGTAATTGTATTTATTTGCTACGTGTTATTTTTATCATCACCATGTGTTTTATTATAGCATGTAAATAGCAACTGCTATTCTTAAAGCTGCAAAATATCTTCTGTTTTGGTCTAATTTTTACAAATGCCACATTCTTCTCAAAGTGTTCCCCTTGGCACAGAAAATGCTCTACACTTGCTCTCTTGTCAGATGCTAGCGCTTTCAATTTCTTTTATGTGTTTTTTGTAAACTGTGTTGACATCAGTATATAAGTTATAGGACTTGTAAAAAATATGTATCTGACACTGATGTCTCCCACAGTTAAGTTGGTTAGTTTACTTTCTATTAACAGATTTATTTTTTTTAAAAGGGATCCAATTTAAAAAAAAAAAAAGAAGAAAATTAGTTGAGCTGTCAACTTTACAGTTGATGTGACAATTTGGTGTTGGGGAGGGAAATACAGAGCTGCTTATAGTAATTATTCTAATTTTAACCAATTATGAGCATCAAAAATTTGTACCTGAAGCAATGCAGTCAGTTTTCGTTGGTGGAACATGCACACCTAAGGAGAAAACTATCAGAAAAGTTGTTTCCTTGAGATTTTGAGATTGATAAGAGATGAACTTGCCCTGTCTGTCTGTTACGAAGGAAAAGCTCTGTGTCCGTCTCCATTTCTGGCACTTTTATCCAGAAAGAACAAGTCCTGCTCCAGTGCAGTAAAGCTAGTGTAGATGTGCTGCTTAATAGGTGAAGAAAGTGGAGTCTAGTATGCTGGGCAGGGAAGCAGGATTCCCCACCATCACCACCACCACCCAGCACAATTCCAAAAGCTCTGCTATAAACAGGCATTTTGGCAAAATTACTCGTGTCTTCCACATCACAGTCCACAGACACTGCTTGAGGAGGATTTTAGGAAAAGGCTTTTCTAACACAGTCACACTTTGGAGTAGTGTGGAAAAGCACTGATTGGTCTCTAGTGATCAGGTGGCTGTTAGATTTGCAACAGGAGATATGTCTCTTAATCTGCAGTTCAGATTCTGGCTATTTTCCAAGTAAATAACCAAGTATTTAGAAAGCAAAGGAGAGCAATCCTTAAGACAGTATTACAGTGCAAAGAGAAAACGTGGTTAGGAAGCTTGAGGCAACCTGAGGCCTCACTCGATGATAGATCTTCATTGAAAAGATACACTTTTTAGAACCCTTTTCTTAAATAAGTTTCCTTGCTATAACTTAGTATGGCAATCTTAATGTTGGTAAAAATGCTGCAGTGTTAGTGCCAGGGACAAACTAATAAATCCAGATTAGATCCCTTCTTCTGTCTTAAGTCATACAGATGCTATTGTGTATAGTTGACACATTTTCCTTGATCCTGTCTGGGGCAAGGGACAGCTGAGGTGATTCAAATAGCTTCAAAGCAGACATCATCTTCCAGAGTTTTGGGTTGTAATTCTTTCCAACTTCCAGTCTGTCCAACGTTTGCTTAATTTCAAGGGGAAAAACAGGGTCTTCTGTTGGCAGAAGTTTTCCTTCTTCACATTTTTTTCACTCAAATACAGGTTAATCTCTTTTGGCCTGGAAAATTTCTGTCAGTTACATAGTACCATTTTTTCAGTTGGTGTGCAAATAACATCTATAGTCACAGTCATCCACTGTTTAATGTAAACTACAGTAGATTTTTGATTCATATTAGGACTGTTCTGTAGTAACATTTGTTTTCTGCAGAATTTATGAAGTTAATTCTGACTGCCAGCTAGAGGAAGCTTCTTCTATTTGCTTCAATAAGTAGACCTCAGATTTTTTTCAAAACTTTTTTTTTAATCTCATACCGCGACAGGTACAACTGCTCATCATGGGGTGCACCACAGATTCATTACAACCGGTGGCTGTGTAAAACATAACAATGAAATGGAGCCAGACCAGTATTCAGCAAGAACATTATTACATTCTTGCACATTTTCATATATTGGACCTCGGAATATCATCCAGTGCTAGTAAGGCCTAGGTAAGTGGAGAAACAATGCTAGAGAGAAAATGTGTGTGTCCATCTCACTGAATAATGGTCTGTCTCCGCCTGCTCTTTATGGGCATGGATTTGCTATTGCTATTATTAGGACAAAAACAGGTCCTGAGTGCTCCATCATGTCAATTTGTGTGTGTGTATATATATATATGTATATATATATAAAGAGCAAATGAACATATTTTAAGAGTTTTGGCAGTATTTAAGCAAGAGAAGTCAGAAATAATACAGTAAAGAAGCACGATTATCTATTCAGATCATTCAGTTACTCAAAGCTAGTTCCTGAAGTTGCTGTGACATAAAGCCTGACATTTTTGGCCCTTGGTGCAAGCGAGGGCTGCAAAAGCTCCAGTGCTGTCCTGCAAATCAAGACTAGTCAAGGAGTGGAACATGGTGGTTCTGCCAGGTCCCTTGGCTTTGGCTGTCATCTTTGCACTAATGACTCATGAAGCTTCTTCCATCTCTTAAAATCTTCCAGTCATGGGTGGTAGCCTGCTTGTCTGTTGTCTCTTAGTGAGAGCCTTTCCGTCAACTTAGAAGAAATGTGTGTAGCGGGCACTGCCCCGTTGTCTGAGGATTCTCCTTCTCCATCACTGTTGACACTGGTTCCCACCATGTAGGCCATATTCTGGGATCTTTTTTTACTCTTTTCCCTTATCACACACATCCAGAGAATCTTACTCCATCTTCCCTCTCAGAATGTCCACGTCCCACAACATTCTGTAATCCCAAAGAACTCTCTCTTTTTCGCCTTCATTAAATGCCTGAGAGGTGGTTAACCTGCTTTGTACAAGCGTAAGCCTCTGACATCTGCTTTGAGGGAAGTCCTGTATTTGGCCCTCCTTGTTTATCAAATGCCCTTCACTCAGTCTGCACAGGTAATGCTTCCAGTGATGCTTTGATAGCTTGGCTTTCTCACTCCTTTAGTTTGGGAAACTCCTCCACACCTATGACACCCATGATAATAATAAGTTAGAAGAATAATTAAAAACAAATCTGTGCTGAAATGCTTCAAATATCTGTCTTTTAAAAGCTTTTTATTTCCAGTATGTTTTTAATGAAACTCCTTTCATCACGTTTCTTAGCATCAGTATACCCATGGCTGCATGTACTCATCCTTTTTTTTTTTTCTAATGTTGTCATCAGATTCTTAGCACTGTGAATTAGACAGTGTGATGTAGAGATGGGACTGATTTTATAGACATTTGCTTAATTATTTTTTTTGGCACAGTAAGGCTTGTTCTGAACATGACTGGAAAAGCTACATGACACCTATCAAATGACTAATGGTTGTCTCAAGAAAACTAAAAAAAAAAAAAAACACACCAAAACAAAAAAAAGCTCAGTACAAATTGCCTGTAATTAATAAAATTACTTTTTAAACATGAGAGCCTGTTTCTTATTAGTCAGTAACAGTTTAGCAATGTAGCTGTCACATTTGCAGTTAAAGAGAAACATCTGCCTATACTGAAAACATCTGCCTATACCTGAGGCATCATTTTTATATAGAAAATGAGTCCCAGTGCAGTCTTATAAAATCAAACAAATTGCTTTTGAGGTATTGCTGGTTGGGAGGTTTTAGCAGAATTAGAACCAATAAAGTTATTGGCGAGAGTAAAACATACAAGTGCAAAGCAGATGAGTTGAAGGTGACTTTGTCCCGTGCAGCCCTTTGAGCCAGCTGGGTCTCACTCTCCACAGGTTGAATAGAGGGGGCAGGTGAACATGTCCTTCTTCCCAGCTGTGCCCATGTAGCCAAGGTGACATGTGGCAATCACCTGCCTGTAAAAAAAAAAAAAAAAGGGGGGAGTGCAAGTCATTGGATTGCAAGTTAAAAATAAAAATTGTAAAAAGCGTTGATCCAAAGAGAGGAAGCTGTGTATGTGTTGGTTTTAGGATTGCACGATGCCCTCAAGTAGGTATAGTTGTGAGAGAGTGTTTTGCCCTTTGCAGGCTGTAGGACCTGGAAGCATAATGATGAAAAAAAGATAGTGACTGTAAAGATGTTATGAAGGGAGTTAAACACCGCTGCGGATTCCCAGAGAACACTCAAACAGAAATGTCAGGAGACTATGCTGCGGTTTTAGTCTTGTTTTCCTTAACTACTGTTGTTCAGATATTGATCAGTGGAATAAAGTTATTGAGCAGCTGGGAACACCCTGTCCAGAATTCATGAAGAAGCTGCAGCCAACAGTACGGAACTACGTTGAGAACAGACCGAAGTATGCTGGCCTCACTTTCCCCAAACTTTTTCCAGACTCCCTCTTCCCAGCTGACTCAGAACACAACAAACTGAAAGGTATGTCTGACAAGGGGATGTAGCTCACATGTCAACAGCTACAATGCAGTGAAGGCTTTTTCAGTCTTCTCTCTAGTTGCACCCCCTTTCAGTGCAGTTAGTTGCAGAGATGAATGGCTGCGTGGGTTTTGTTCAGCTGAGAGGCAGCTTTTGGAAATTATTTTTGGAGACCCTGGTTCTTGGGCAGCCAAGGGAACATACATTATCACTGATGCGTTGAGCATATCCCCATGGTGTTCGGTGTGATGTTTACGTACCACGAGGAACTGAGGTGTTCCTTTATGCCCTTTCTTAAACTTGTAACACAAAGGAACAATAGAACTTCCATCGGAAGATTTCAGTGCTTGCGCTGTTTTGTTTTAGGTGAAAAATATCAGTTCAGCCAGATGCCTGCCTCATAGCTCTACCTTTACTAGACAACAGAAAGGTATTAGCGGCATCGGCCAAAATGGTCTTGATATAGTGGAGGTTTAATATCTGCTATGGGTGGATTTCTTTTGAAAAATGCTGCGGGTCCATTTGGATATGTGAAGTAGAGGACTAACTTAATTACAGTGTGACTAGATATACCCTTGTAAATACAAATTGCAATGAATTTAATCATATATTGAAGTCTTGTTTTACTTGAACAGGGCATTGACCTTCTGTTGGAAAGGATTAATGTGTGTTTGGTATAGAAAGGATTTCTCCTCATAGCTTTTGTTTTCTGATCCTGGCAATAACGCAGATAACCTCAAGCACGTTTTTCTTGGGCATATTATTCAGCCCTCTACATGGAATCTGCATACAACATGTAAAATCTCAAGTGTGTTAGGGGACTTATGGTATACAGCCCTGATGGTTGGCACCTTCCTAACGACTGCAACCTAAAATGATTACTGAAGAACTCTCGCTATAACAAGGCAAGGGGCAAAAGTACACACAAACAATCTCGAAACGGGTTGTGTCATTGTTACTTTTGTAACTCAGTTAGCCCTCCTCTAGAGGCAGTGGTTGTTTTGTACTAATACTGTGTTCATCTGATTTCATTGTTCTAGCCAGCCAAGCCAGGGACCTCTTATCAAAGATGCTAGTCATTGATCCGGCCAAGCGAATATCAGTAGATGAAGCCTTACAGCATCCATACATTAACGTCTGGTATGACCCAGCAGAAGTGGAGGCGGGAATAATGAGCATGCTATAAAGGAACAATGTCGTTGTGACTGTGGTGGTCTTTGGATTTATGTGAAATGAGATCTATAGGGACAGGATATCTCTTCTGTTAGATTAATTGACAATAGATGGGAGAAGCAAAAACACTTCAAGCATATGAAGCCATTTTCTGCTTTTTTCTAGACAACATGAAGAAGGGATTTTGATCCCAGTAGCTCACCTTTTTTGTAGCTATATAAGTCTATCTGGCAAAAGATACTATCTTTCTCTCTAAACATTTCATTGTGGAAAACAGCAAACATCACTTCCTATGTTTGTGTTCAAGGATATATGTGGAGAGGAGGAGAATTAAACAAAACAATACAAAATCCTGAAGTCAGAATTCAGAAAAATGTTAGGAGGACATAAATTATACCTTAAAATGAAGCAGGGGCTCATATGTTTTCCTGGGCCATGGCTCAATGTTCAGTATCATGTATACTGTGTGCAAACAGAAATTGAATTTTTCTTATAATCTTGCCATGCTCTAGACACCTCTTCATATACCTTGATGAGGCTGGTGTTAACAGGAGAAAGTGCGATCTGTATGTACTTCAGTGACATGGTGTAATAGGTATAGGTATAAATTCAGAGATGTTCTCTGTAATACTATGTATGAAATGTATGAAAACAGAGCTCAATATTTCAATGGGTTTAGAAATCTTCCTTAAGCACAATAGTAAACTAAGACCCTGAATCTTGCAAAATTAAATGACTGCTCTTTAGTGATATGCTCTAATTCAGTGTGTGTTCTTGAAAGGGCAGTAAACTTCAAAAGTAAATGGAATGCACAAAACCCCATCAAATATCACATGCATAGGATTTTTGCAGAGTATGTTACTGAGGAGTGCTTTATAGGGGATGGTTCCGCTGTCTAGCAGAGCCTTTGGTTTTTGTGCCCTGTTTAGTTTTCTTCAAGAGAAAAGTCTATTGGTCTGAAGCATAAACATTTGATACCCTGTGCAGTAGTTCACCCCCTGGCACGTACATTTTAGTTTCACATCCCTCTTGAAGATCTCATTCCATTGTCAGATACTTTTGTTGTATTTCCATGCATTTCTTAACTCCATTTTAGGGAACTACTCTGGTGTCAGAACTCAGATTTGGGTCCCTCTTTAGATGTGCTTCGCCTGTGAATTTAACCATGGTGAGCCACTTCTGATGCAGAACAGGAAGGGAATTTGGTACCATGGATATTTCAATGTAATGATTTGCCCGATTTCCAAATGTATGCTTCTAGTTGTATTTCAGATTGAAGCAGAGGTTGAATGTCATAATGAGATTGCCCTTTTAGAAGGAAAAACTTGCCACACACCTAGAATTGCAGCTGATATTGAACTTCGTCTTACTGTTCTCTTTCGCAGACAGAGATCAGGGGTACATCTCTGGCTGAAGAGACAATGGTTTAATTTCTGATTGTACCAGAGAGTCCTCACGTGATCTAGAACAAACCACATCCTTTCTCTGGATCATGACTGTAAAACAGGAATAATAATTTTTTTTTTTTTGTCTGCCAGGTGGTGAATTGGCTGGAATCTAACAAGCCCATGTTAGGCTCTCAAAAGCCTGCAGTAATTACATTCTAGCTCATTGAGGCATTAGTCTCTCACATGCACCTCCTATCACTATAGATACCTGTACAAATGTGGTGCCACACTTTATCAAATCATGTTCCTTGCATTTTCACTGTTGGCTGCATTTCATTGCTCAGAAAATGACTACAGAAGGTGTAAAGCAGTGGAAACCAAACTGTCATTGCTCCCACAGCAGCTCAAAGAACAGAGGACATCCTGTGAGGAAGGAACAGCGTCTTTAAATTCAACTTCAAATGCTCAGTGTTGTCACAGTTATTTGTAGCTTGTATCTTTGAATTTCATCTTTTTGATAAACCTCTGTTCTCTTCATCCACATGGTTCTTTGCACAGTTACTGTGTAGTTAACATGAGCTGAACATCAGCATACCCAGCTGCTTTCTCTCTCTCTCTTAGCTTCAAAGTTTTTTCTTCCAAAACATGCTATATCTTGTCAATAACATACTATAGCATCATACCGATACTTTTGTCATGAGTACTTTGACAATGAAGTATTATTGAATTGCTTTGACACCGATCACTCTACGATACAGAGACCCTTCTTCTCTTGGGATCACCACAGGTTAAAAACCAGGAAGGTTCAGGTTATGTGCAGTGTAACCTAAACAGAAGAACAAGGGATTAATAAATATTCATTGTATTTTGTCAGAGTGAGAAAGAGCCTGGCTTCACTTATCACTCATTATTTTTCCAACCTCATTTTCAGAGGGAAAGTTAAATTGGAGGACTTTCTGTTTGCAATTAACAGTTTATTAAATTCTAAATTTCCATCTGTTCATGCTGACACACCTTCAGTGGCTAGCTGTGAATCATTTACTACTTATTTTCTAGAGAAAACTTAACTCAGTTGGATTTTCTTTGCCTCTTGATTCAGCTGTTGAAGTACAATCAGTCCATGTTTTTCATCGATGTTGTCTCGATAACGGAATAAGTTTCTCAAACAGTTTCATGGGAGGTTGGTGGCTTTCTGTTGTTTCTCAAAAGATTGTCCTGACATTCTGGGACTGCTCTAACTAGCAGTGCCTCTACGAGATGTAGCTGTTGCTCCACTGGAGAGAAAGTTTCACTTGTGCATCCGTGTTACAGCTTGCCACTTCTGGCTGAACACTTGATGTCTGATCACCTATTAGTTCTTTACAAGACAGCAAAGGAACTGTATGTGTTAAACTTGTTTGTTGGATACATGAGCAATTTAGTGCTTCAAGCATGAAATAACTTGTTTCCTCTTGGAAAAAGCTGTGTTGGCGTGCACAACAGGCTGTGTCCATCCATCTGTGACCTCAGGCATGGACCAGGGGAAACTAGAATACCTTTTGGTGTATCTTGTAATGCTGCACTGACATCCAGTGTCCTCAGTGATTACAGTTTTGTGCGGTAGTTTATATTATGCTGTAAGCCCCAGACTCTGCATCGTGCTAATTCCCTTGTTCTACTTCTGTGTTACTTGTTGCAATTTTGGCATGTCTCGTATTTTGATTACCATGAGATTGGGCTATTCTAACGCTTTGCTGCTTCAATTAGCTGATAAATCAGTTAATGGATTTTGCGTTTGTGCTGAGTATTCAGTTTTACTCTTTTATTCTCTTTTCTTATTTCATGTTGAAATTCAGAAGTGATATTTTTACTATGTTGGCCATTTTTGAAGCCCCTGGTATCTTTACCCCTAGATGATCTTTTGTTAAAACAGGTTTTAGGTGGGCATTTGTGTTTTGTATTTCACTAGAAATGCCGCAGTTAGCATCAGATTTGGTCCTTTTTTTTTTCCACCCTCTTTTTGTGGATTTTCCTTGAGGTAATCATGAGTCTTAGTTTGCTATTGCTTGCTCCTGCATTTGACACACATGCTGTTTTGGAGCCTATGATTTATTTTTACAGTTGCATTCAGTGGGTCTTCTCTTGTGTCAGAATCTGGCTACTGCAACTGGGCTCATCCACGGTGCATAAATTTCTTTTTCCTGCCTGAGAACAAAGCATTAGAGATAGAAATTTTAAAAAAGCCTGGTCATCTTTGACCCAATCAAAGCTCAGTACTTCACCTCTCTGTTGTCTGGGTTCTGACCCAAGCTGAATTACTTCAGTCCAGGCATGATGAACAGGCAGATCAGAACTCCTCTGTCAAGCAGAGGGATCAGGAGCACTTTAACAAGGGCTTAGTAGGTACTGTGGTGTTCTTCATCTTCTCCTCTCTTCCTTTGCACAAGGAAGTACGTTGTATTTGGGGACATACCTGTCTACTTGGATTTCAGGGAATAGTACTGTGTCCAGTTCTGGGCTCCCCAGTCCAAGAAAGATGAGGAACTCCTAGAGAGAGTTCAGAGGAGAGCAACAAGGATGATAAAGGGACTGGAGCATCTTGCCTATGAGGAAAGGCTGAGAGAGTTGGGCTTGTTCAGCCTGAAGAAGAGAAGACTGAGAGGGGACCTCATCAACTCATACAAATATCTTAAGGGTGGATGTTACGAGGACAGAGCCAGACTCTTCTCGGTGGTGCCCGGCGACAACAGGACAAGGGGCAATGGGCACAAACTGAAACATAAGAGGTTTCAGTTGAATATGAGGAAGAACTTTACTTTGAGGTTGACAGAGCACTGAAACAGGGGGGGTTGTGGAGTCTCCTTCTCTGGAGATATTCAAAGCCCGCCTGGACAAAGTCCTGTGTAACATGCTCTAGTTGAACTTGCTTTAGCAGAGGGGTTGGACTAGATCTCCCGAGGTCCCTTCCAACCCTTGCCATCCTGTGATTCCTGATGAAGGGAGAAGAAGAAAAGCCATAAGCCAAGTTTTACATTCCGTCTGGCTATATCATAGGCAACAGGTACTAACCACAGTTTTTGCTTTGCCTTCCTCAAGCAGGCCTTGTCTCTTTCTAGATGAGCACTTCACCCCACTAGCTCACAGCTTCAGAGATTGGCATCTATTTCATGGGCTAGGTGCCAGAGGGTACAATAGGAGCCCTAGCTGTTGACTGCAAAGTGGGCAGGCTAGGATGGAGTGGAGGGAGGAGTGGGGGAAAGGATGGACTAACAAAGACAAATATTCTGCTACTTCCTTAGGGAAAGTTTGCAGAGGACCAGCTGGCACCTTAATGAATTATCCTTTAGCAGTGTGATGAAGCTCTATGGAACAACCCTGCTTTTTCAGACTGCCCTACAAATGTGCAGGCCAGGGAACCTGACAAGAGATTGATAGGAAAATGAGTGATGTAGATGCTTTTGGCCACTTGCATTGTGCTTAACTTCGCACTGTTTTTTCTGATTGCCGCACTGGGACTTAGAAGCCTGTACTGTGTTGCATCTGCCCACGTTTGCTGCATTCTCTCTTTTGTAGTGCTTGATAAACACTTTTCCATAGAGTGAGGTCTTTTATCATGTGACTAAA